GCCATTAAACTGACAACTTGGAATGCTGACCAAATGTATATGATTAGATGAAGTGGCTGCTGACCATTATCTGTCACTGTATTTTTAATTAGCCATATTAAAGGAGGTTCAATGATAATATATCATATTTTAAGCCAAATTTATTTGGTATGATTAAAAACCAATGTACAGCCACAGTAAGATGGCATGAACGTGATTTTTGTGACTGCAACAGTTTATTATTTTAGCTGGCGACACCATTTTTTTTAATTTCAGTGTTATAGAAATATGGGAATTTAGGAATTTATGAAAATAAAAACAATTTAACATAGAATTACCAATTCAGCTTCAATATCCTTAAACAAAAATAGCTTATATTATTCTCTGTCTTGTTATGACATAAATCCAGACAAATGACATTGTCAGCAAAATTTTTTCATGCAAATTGATGTATGTCTACTAGCTCATCTGATAGTATGTTGAATGAAAGAAAGAAAAAAAACCTGATTTTTAGTGATTTGTCATCACTTGTCAATTGCATACAGATTAATCATATGAAGCTTAGCTGGCGCATATGTGTGATTTCTTGTGTTAAGACTTCAAAGTAAATATTCATTTGAAGTAATTCCATACAAACCTCAGGTGATGAAATTATGTATTGGAAATTGACAGATTTGTCAGCTGATGTCAGTTCCAATAACTTATTAAGGAGTTGACCACTAGAAATCTTGGGGGTTGGCAAAATTGAAAAAAAAAACACACAGGATAAAATCCTGCAGTGATCAATAAGCAGAAACAAAATCTGCACACCTATTACTCATGGAAAAAAATTACACTGTGATAACACAGCGAATTCGTCAGAGAGAAAAAATAGACACAAAACTGAGTGAAGGACAAAATATTTTGCATAGTTTTACTGCCATTGCCCCACCCAGAGTTTCTAATGGTGCGCCCCTAATACAGTCTCCATATTTGATGAGGTGTATCTTTGAGGTACGTTTTGATTATTGATCAACATTCACTTTTATGTCTCTTTGAAGACTTATATTATGAGTATAACAATCTAAAATCGCTCTCTAGTGGAACACACTCTAAATTGAAAAGTAAATTAATTGAAATGCACAGTTGCATGTGATTTGCATAACAAACAAAGACTTAACAAGTGTATTCATTTATCTGGAATGTCTTTGTATGATTTTCTATTCATTGCTCCTAACAAGAGTAATACACTGACTAATTGGCCACTAATTGGAAAATTAATAATAGTATGCTGTAATTAATACAAATTAACTAATACTTTGTTTCTTGCCCCACAGTAGGTCAATTTAATAATACTCTTCTCTGATTGTTTTAAAACTTCCCTCCGAGCATGAATAAATGTATGCACAATTAGGCCAGACCTAGAAAAATATTTGCTTAACAGATTTTCCAAGATAAAATCCAACAAGCAGTTGTTTTTTTCAGGGGAAGTGGGGTATAATTCCTAAATTGATTTTTTTTTTAAATGCATAAAAATCTAGTTTTTAGTTTTTGTGAATTAATTTATGCTAAATTATAATCTTTAAAAGAAACAATTCTTGAAAAGCTGACAGTAAAACTGTTGTATTTATGAATCTTTCAATTACCAAGTTGTGGCAAAATGTCAACTGCTGTGCAAGTTATGCTTCAAGTCTGGCCTTTTTTTGGGGGGATATGATTTGTGACCAAACATTGTATTTCAAAATTCAAAGTCTGGTTTCTGTTTTTATAATAACAATTGATACATGTGTATGATTGTTATCTTAATAATTGATTATCTCATTATGTTAATTAATGGTATGTCATGTGACCACCAGCCAATTATGTTTTTGTATTAACAAATAATTTATGTAATATATATAATGAAAAACATGCTATATAGTTTTTCTTCATGGTTCAGAAATATTATTTGACAACATCCCCATTAAAATAATTCAATAAAATTATATGATGTGGAAGGGGGGGGGGGAAGCAATAATAAAATATATCCAATGTTTTCTCCTCTTTCAAAGTTTTAATTAGAAGTAAAAAAAATGTAAGTAATCGTTGAAATTATTACCTCCATTTTGGAAACCCTAATTTTCATCTATATTTGAAACGTTATTTCTGAATTATTAAAAGTACATGACATACAGGTAGTCACATGACAGCCTCGTCTTGGTTCTCAATTTAGACTGATCATATCATGATTTATCCTCCCATAACATAATACATGTACTTACAATAGCAGGTCACCATTAAATTTTAGTGATTACTGCCCTCTTGAGGGAGTCGCCCTCTCCAGTGTAAACTGGTTCAAACTAGTTGAGGCAAGCCATGCAAAAGTCTGTTTTTTTCACATGAGTTACAAAAATAAACTAATATTAGTAGTTAACAAATAAAAATGTTAGTTGTGTTTCTATCATTATTATAATATCATACCTTAGTTAAAATGTAAAATAAAAGTATAATAATCTATGCACTGAAAAAGTTTTTTTAAAAATTAATTTCAAATTGAACTCTAGAAGTAGTGACGGCTGTTTGCATTTGTGTTATTTCTCCCCAGTGTTTCTCTGTTAGTTCTCACGTCATTTTTTTCTTTGCAGAATACTTTCACAAATTTAATCTGAAAACAGTATTTATTGAATGGAAATTTCCCAGGCTGTCACATTGTCTGATATATTACCTTATGAATTATTCAACACAATTTGATACCAACCCGCCTGTTTTTTAATCACCTGAAAATATATCCTATTCGAAGGATAAAATATCTATTGATGGTTTTCAGATACAATTCAGAAATTCAGAAAAAATGTTGATATTTGCATAAGTATGGAATTTTGTAATTTATTGGTGTTTTGAGGCTTCTTGTTAAGAGGGATCGCCGTGGTAATCATAAAATACATGTGCATGTGTTATTGAAGATGCCAGAAAAAAAAGCTTTTAAGCTCATTTGCATAACAATGGTATAACAGCAGGAGTTGGGTTACAATGGGAATTGTCCCTCTGGGGGAAAGTTGGCTGCTTTAGTTGTTATGAGTCCAATCCTTATGTATGGAGAAATTGCCGATGATTTGAAAGATAGCAGAATAGCCAATTACATGTCCTTCTAATGCATTACTATTGTTAAAGGAATTTGAATAAAGCTAGAGACAGGAAATTAAGCATTTTTATACCAGAATGACAGTAACGAAGGGGCTTTGATGTGTCAGATGTGAAAAAAGCCAATTTCAGTTCATTTTTGTGATTGGTGAAATTGGATTAATTGATTCACATCAAGTATACTGCAGTAAATCCCAATTATTGGTGAATAGTGACCTTACATGGGTCACATCCTTAGATATGCTATTCGGCTGCAATTATTGTCACGATGAATTTTTGTGTAAATCTTAGATATTTTTATTTCCTCCATTTATGATCTGTTCCTGCTGTTCTGAGATGCCAAATTGACTTATACTGCTATTTGAGTTATAGTACTTCATGCTAAAAATAATAATTTCTTGCTTTTGGATTAAATCTCTGGTTTTTGTGAATATATTTATATATCATCATATATATGCGATTCATATTTGTATCACTTTGAACTCAATTACTAAAAACTTTTATACTCATTTTTTTTCAATAAAAAAATAGGCAAAAGATTTGTAAGTATTTTTTTTTTCAATTTGTGATTTGTATTGATGTTACATATTTTGTGTTCATGACATGAACTTCACCTGTTTGTCTGTCATGCACTTTTTCAGTGAAAATCAATTGATGAATAATACTTTATTGTGTTAAATTGAATGCAGCTGATGTAGCAAGTGATTCAGCTGCCGTAAAGTTACCAATGCAATCAATATTACAACGTTTATTATTTAACCATTCACGATTGGCCATAACAAAACAAATTTATGTTTCTCATAATTTACTACATGCATGTCATCATCCACGTTAATATTAGTTTGTGTCACACTGCTCCTATTCAGTATTCTGGAGCCACAATAAAAAAAAATTCTGTTTCTCACTTCATGTATTCCAAATACAACAGGCCACAATACTAAAATGTTCTGTTTCTCCCTAATATTGTATAGTACGACAGTTAGGGTGTAACATTACTAGTACTTCCAACCTGGTTTCAGCTTTTTCATGAAAATTGTTTTCATTATTCGATGCAAAATTTATTTGACTGATTCATGTTGAATTTATATTTCTGAGTTTTTAAAATCATTGTCATTGGTAATATTTACCTTCATTACTAGTATGACACGGATTACTTTAAACACATAAGAATAGAATAGAAACAAGAATAGAATTTTTGGAAGCCATCCAACTACCAGCGACTTAGTAAAAATCGTGACTTATTGAGGTGTGATTTAGTGAGGGGTCACTGTATATCAAAAAGCACATAAACATTACCTAATCAGGGAGACTGTCTTTCTCACCCAACTTTCTTTTTCCACTTCTTGAGTCCATAATTATTTTTAAATATGGCATATGGCAAGCTAAGCTATCCTAAATCTAAAAACTACCTGAATGTTAGGTTACACTAAAACAGTACTGTACTTTCTTCTTTTATCGTCTCAGGTCGCATTAATATTTTTAAAGTAATTTCTGGCTAAAGCTTACTAACTATGACCATGTGAACAATATTATACTACATGTTATGGGACATTATTGGTCTCAGAGATGTGGTACATTGGATATTATTGGTTCCGGTGATGTGGTACATTGGATATTATTGGTTCCGGTGATGTGGTACATTGGATATTATTGGTTCCGGTGATGTGGTACATGTGGACATTATTGGTCCCAGTGATGTGATCGTGTGGACATTATTGGTCTCAGAGATGTGGTACACATGGACATTATTGGTCCTAGTGATGTGGAACATGTGGACATTATTGTCCAAGTGATGTGGAACATGTGGACATTATTGGTCCCAGTGATA